GAAGGAGATATCAAGCATAGAATGGTAAAGGATATTTTAATGCACAATCAAAGGATCTTGAGATATTTTCCAAGCAGACAGAAGGTAAAAGAAAATTGGCCCATTACCAGCTGATGGGAGGTGGGGGGACTGGTGACATGGGATAGCGTCATGGCTGATGAGCCAAACTCCTGCTTCCTGGAAGGTGAAGATGCAGAGCTGTGTGGGGAGGCTTAAAAATATGTCTGGGATGGGATTCCATCGGAATCCCTGGGTGGTGCAAATGGTTAAGCGCTTGGCTACTAACTGAAAGGTTGGCAGTTCGAACCCACCTAGATGCTCCTCAGAAGAAAGGCCTGGTGATTTGCTCCCGAAAGGTCACAGCTATGAAAACCTTGTGGAGTGTAATTCCACTTTACAACACATGAGGTCACCATAAGTCAGAATCGACTTGACAACAACTGTTTTTGTTTTTTGTCCGAGATTCCATCAAAATGCACACTTGCAGTTCAAGTACATACACGAGACTAAAATGGGCAGCTCCTGCCCGGAGGTGAGATGAGAAGGCAGAAAGGGACAGGAGCTGGTTGAATGGACATGGGAAATCTGGGGTGGAAAGGAAGAGTGTGCAGTCACATTATAGGGAGAGCAACTAGGGTCACATAACAATGTGTGTATAAATTTTTGTATGAGAAACTAACTTGAGCTGTAAACTTTCACCTAAAGCACAATAAAAAATTAAAATGAAAAAAAAAATGTACATTTGTCCCTGCTTAATGAAAAGCTGACTTCCTCTGGGTCAGTGTTGAGTGGGGCCTTGAGGAGCTAGGTTCCTCCTGGCCTGGTGGTGGTGTATGGCCAGGGACAGGAAGGCACAGCCTGGGGAGCTGCTGAAAACCTGAGGGAGGAGGAGCTGGGGGCTCCGGCTCCAGCAACTTCCCCAGCAAACTCATTCTCCTGTAGCTCATCTTCCAAGAAGGCTTTCTGGCTCCGCTGGCTTCCTCAAACCTGTTAGCAGGCCTTTCTGGAGCTCTCATTCACCATGGGCAGAGTGCTGGGTGATTAGTTAAGTGATGAGTAAACATTTGCTAAATGGGATTCTTGGCTCCCTGGTAATGAACTGCCCCAGCAGGAGGGAAGGGGGAGAGGCAGTTGAGGGGTGGGATATGGGGATTGCTGCCGATCAGCCAGAGGGGCACATGGAGAGGGCGGAGGGGGTATTCCAGGCGTCCTCTGATGCGAGGAGAGGGCTGAGGGTGGAGCCTTGTGGGTGTAGAAAAGGAGGCAGTGCGGGCCTGGAGACAAAATGGTCCTGGAATTCTCTCTGAGCCTGGAAGGAGCAGGTGTCTGGGAATGGGACACTGGCCCAGGCAGATTTCCAGGGAGCGCTCCAGCTTGCCGGCACGAGGGAAGAATCCGGCTGAGCAGAAGAGGCAAGTTGCGATGATGAAACCCACCGTTGAGGAACATCGGCAAGGGTGCCATGAGCGGAGCCACGTGCCCGTGTGGGCCTGAGGCTGGGGGTGTGAGGTTGAGAAGAGAACCCCAAGTGGAGGGAGCCACACATTCCCACTACTTCCAGAATAGAGCCCAAATCCCTGAGTAGGATCCCACGTCCCTGAGGCATTCTCCTTGCCAGGTTCTACTCCCAAACCTCCACCTCCTCAGCCAACGGGCTGGGCTCCTCAACACCCATTGTTTGCAGACTCCCCCTAACTCAACACTGTTGCACGCCTCTGCCCCTCTGGCTACAATACTCCCCACACGCTCCTTTGGCTAACTCTTCATCCTCTGAGGCCCATCTGAAGTGTTGCCTCCTGCTGGAAGCGTTCTCTAACTACACCACCTTCCCCTGAGCTGAATTTCTTCTTTTTTTTTTTCTGGACACGAACAGAGGCACACAGGGGTTGTGATGACTTGTTTCCACATCTAGGCTGAAAGCTCCTTGCAGAAGAGCCACATCTTCTCACTTTTATGTCCCCAGAGTGTGGGACTCTGGCTGGCACTGTAGTTGTTGATCAGCACTTGTTGAGTGAATGGTAGGGAGCTAGCTGAGCCCTGGGGTCATGGGAGAGACTCTGAGACCACCTATGGTCGTCGTCCAGCCCTCCTGCAGGCTGGCTTTGTCCACTTGTCAGTCCCAAGTGGAGGGCTGGATGGCAGGAGGGGAGAGAGGGAGACAAGGGTTCCTTCCTGGGGTCTACGGAAAGTGCTGAGCAAAGATGGCAGAAGAACTGGCTCCCACAGCACCAATGGTGGGGGGGTGGCCCCAGCTCCTCAGAGGACAGAAATCCCAGGGGCAGGAATCCATATCTCCCTGCCCTGAACGACCCAGGACGGAAGCTGGGTGTGGTGCATAGAAAGGCCTGCGCTAAGTCTCTAACTTGTCAACTTGCTCTGATGTTCGGAGCAATGGTGTCATTGTGCTGTGGAGCACATGAGCCGCTGAGTGACAAGTGATGTCATCCACAAGAGAGCTGCCTTTATTCCTTCTACCTCTTGGAGGAAAGAGCTACTAAAAATACACCTGGCGTCCTGGGTCCTACTGCCTCACCTAATAGCAGCCGGCAGCCGGAGACTGTGCTGTGCTTAACAGAAGCGGATCATTTATAAAACACTAGCATTTCTTGTACTGACATTTCACTTCCATAATATAGGACTTACTAAGTCTTTTTTTTTTAAAAAAAAAATTAAATGAAGTGCTTATACTCTTGATTTTCCCACTGAGGGCCTGGCTGTCTATAGTTGGATATGCAATCAACAACGTAACAGCCTCTGCAGGTTCTAAAGGACAGTCAGGCCCCTGGCACTGGCCTGGGAGACAGTAGGTAAGCCGTCGGGGAGAAACCGCAGGCCAAAGATGCTTTGTTCTGCTGTCACCCATCTCCCTTTAGTGGAAATTTCAAGCCCTGTAGCGAGGAGGATTTGTCCTCCTGAAAGCACAGGCCTCCTCTCCCTACCTGGTGAGCTCCTGCCCTTCTCCAAAGCCAGAAGGGCAGATGCAGCCTCCACATCCCCAGTTCACTGCTGCTGGGGTTTCCCAGAGCTGGCTGCTCCCTTCCAGCCACCTGCTAGCCCCCCGAAAATCACTTGCTCAGCAGCTGCTGCTGAGCTTCTGGGAACAAGCCGGGAACAATCTAGAACCAGCCTGCTCCAGGGAGAGGCTCAGAGATGGTGCCGACCCAGCGCAGCCAGAGTGTGGGAAGTGAATCATGTTCCGTGCGGGCGAGGGAGAGCCATGGAACAGAGAACAAGTGTGGTGTGTGTGTGTGTTTGCGTGCATGTGTCCCTGTGAGTCAGCGTGCCCCTGCCCCATACGGCTCCTCCCGCCAACAAACGTGCTGTGTTCTCAAAGCTGTGCCTGGCCAGGCCCGCCCACCCCGCTGAACACCCAGGATCTGCCACCCCTTCAGGAATGCAGGGTGAGGAAATGAAAAACAGTGTTCGTGTCCAAGAGAATTTTTTTTATTATTATTTTTCTCTTTTAATTGGATTCAGCATTTCTTGCCCCTCACACAAATCCTCTCTGGTGGGGAATTCGGGTTTGTGCAAAGCGTGAAGGAGACTGTGCCCGCCAGGGCACAGCAGGGCTGATTTTGACCGGAGCCCCTCTCTCCCCTGGCTGGGTTTGCCTGCTCCATTCCCTGCCCCACTCCTGGCCCCTGAGTCTGGCCCCCTAACCTCTGCCCCTCCCCAGGCATCTCCAGAAGGGCCAGTGGGCTGGGATGTCCGTCATGCGCAAGTGCCTGAGATGGGTCTTGCAGAGCCCTCCTCAGTCCTCTTCGGCCAAGGCCACCTGACGCTTTCCTTTCCACCACCCTACATAGGGCCCTCGCTGGGATGTCCATCAGAGAGCCTCAAGGAAAAATCCAGTAGCTGAGCCATGCTGGAAACCTGGGCTCATGTCCAGAGTCTCTCTGGACTCTCGGGACCGTTGCTGGCAAAACGCTATGCTGACGACACTGTCCAACCCTTTGGACTAACACTGTGGAATGCTGCCCCGCCTGCCGGCTTAAAACACCAAAAGCCCCTTCCTTCCCCTTCTCAGCCCAGCCCGTCCGCAGGGCCTGCTCCTAACATCCACCGAGCTACTTCTTGCTTCTCACCCTGACACCAACGGTGACTATAGTTGGGGTGACGGGGCGCACCACGGTGACAGACAAGCCTGTGTTGCATGTAAAAAACAAGGTAATGCTCTAAATATCTAAGAATATTGGTCCCCTGATGTGACTCCTGCTGCCTCCCTTCTCCCGGCCCTCCCCAATGACACCTTGCCCCAGGTGCCTGGCAAGCCCAGGGCATGTGGGGAATATTGTTGCCCGGTTAGGATTCTAGACAAAAATCCTCTTTTTTTTCTTGCTAGAAATCACCAATACAATCCTTAGTTCAGCAGATATAGTTTTCCATATAGTTTATAAACGTATAAGACATACAGTATGGAGTAGGGGCAAGGGAACCTGTGCATTTGTGTATATATATATATATATATGTAGAGAGTGTGTATATATATATATAAGTGGACATAGTTATAAAACTGCACCTTCTGTAGGACCCTCGTTGCACCTGATGAAGTTCTAAATTTCAGCCTCTGATGATCTTCCCTTTGGTAATTTGTTCTTGGACCCCAGCAGTTGGGCCTGGGGCTGCCACGGTTGCCTGAGACATCAGGAATGAGAAACGTTGCCCCAGAGGGAGAGATGAAAGGTGGCATATGGTTAGATTCAGGGCTGGTTGGCTGAATGGCCCCAGGTAAGAGCCAAGCCACCACCCACCTGCTCATGTGCTCCCAGACTGCTGGTCGACCAGCCTCTCGAGTGAACCTTGTTCATTTTTCTGAGTTCTGCTTCCTCCAGGAATGGTGGGGGCCCTTCAGACCTCGCCAGATGATCAGGATTCCACAGAGCCCATCTCCTGTGGTGGGCAATGGTCCCATTGTAGCAAACGAAGGATCAGCTTTTCGTGCCTTTTACCACCTTGCTGGAGTGGACACTATCCGTGGGTACTTGTGGGGGCTAATCCCCTCCTGCCTGGGACTGTACACTTCGGGTTTATAATCCACCAGGCAGGGCCCAGGCAGTGGCTAACGCCTCCACCAGCCTTTTCCTGAAACCCAGCAGATCTTCCATTAGTTAAAAAAAAAGAAAAGAATTGCTGTTCCTTGGTGGGCAGGTGGCAGTGCTGGGTGCTAGCACCCTGGGTCCTCAGCGGAGAGTGACCGCCAGCCCCAGTATCCAGGCCAGGAGCGAGGCCCCCAGGGACGTGGCCGAGGAGGCCCGCTGCACCCCACTGGGGGCACGGATGGGGGTCCTGCGGGCGCACTTGCCCTTCCTCTTGGGCCGTGTGGTGGGCATCGTGTCAAAGCTGAACTTGTGCTGGTAGTTGGGGGCATAGTCCTGCAGCTCGTCAGCCTGTTTCCTGGTGCCTGCCTTAGAGATCTGGTTGCGATTCCTGTGGCTGGTGCAGTTCTTGCCTGGCTTCCTGTAGCCTGGCTGGGAGCCAGGCAGATGGCCGTGTGGGTGCCCCTTGTCCCTGCCAGGGCCGTGGGGCAAGTGCTGCTCCTTGCGGGCAGCCCTGTCGGTGGTGGTGAGCGTGTGCGACTTGATCTGGTGCGGGGACGCTGGCCCCGTGCAGTTCCGGAAGTCCTCAGCCCTCAGTAGCTTCAGGTCCTGGCCGTGCCACACCTCGGGGGACGCGCACGGGATAGCGGAGCTGGAACCTCGGAACCTCCGCAGCCATTCCCACAGGGACCTCGCCCGGCAGCCGCAGTCCCAGGGGTTTCCGTTGAGGCGGAGGAACTCCAGGGCCCCCAGGGGTGCCAGGCAGTCACCTTGCAGCTCGGAGAGGCTATTGTTGAAGAGAAAGAGGGTGGTGAGCCTGCGGAGGTCATGGAAAGCCTTGTGGTGCACCCACTGCAGCTGGTTCTCATGCAGCAGCAGGCGGTCCAGGTTCACCAGGCCCCGGAAGGTGTCCTGGCTCAGGCTCCACAGCTTGTTGCCGTGGAGGAACAGGTGGCTGAGGTTGACCAGGTCCACAAAGATGTCGTCCTGGAGGTACTCGATGTGATTGTCCTGCAGGTAGAGGTACTGTAGGCTGTGCAGGCCGCCAAAGATGCCTGCCGGCAGGGTGCTGAGCCCACATTTGTAGAGGTAGAGGGCGTGAAGCTTCACCAGGCCCTGGAAAGTCTCGGGCGCCAGCGTCCGCAGCTGCCGGTTGTCGCCGAGGTCCAGCTCCTCCAGATGCACGAAGCCCTCAAAGGTGTTGGGGTCGATGAAGGTGATATTGTTGGAGTAGATCCACAGGGTGACCATGGCGGGGCTGAAGTGGCCCTGTTGGAGAAGGGTGATGCGGTTGTTCTGCAGGAAGATGCGCTCACTGTCCTCCGGGATGCCCTCGGGGATGGCGGCGAAGTTGTGCGCCTGACAGCTGACTGTCATGGGTGCCGGGTAGCACACGCAGTCCCGTGGGCAGCCACCGCCCAGGGGCACCTCCCCGGCCAGCAGCAGCAGCAGCAGCTCCACACAGCATCCTGGTGGGGAGAGAGAACACAGCCAAGTCAGGGGGCTATCCAGGGGAGTCAGGGGTCAGGCAGGGTGTGGGGTAGAGCCTGGCACGTGACCCTACTGGGCCAACTGGGGCTTTGTCCTTGTTTTTGCTGTGCTCAGAGGTGCCCTGAGGGATGGGGCCCTGGCTAGAGGAAGGGCAGTGTCAGTGCCCAGGCCAAGACCCTATCTGGGATTAGATACCTCTCCCTACTCCCTGGCACCCAGCTCTTAAAAAAAAAACAAACCAAACCCATTGCTGTCAAGTCAATTTCGACTCATGGTGACGTCCATGTGTGTCAGACTAGAACCGCTCCATAGGGTTTTCTTGGCTATAATCTCTATGAAAAGGAGTCCTGGTGGCACAAATGGTTAAGCACTTGGCTGCTAACTGAAAGGTTGGCATTCAAACCTACCCAGCAGCTCTGTGAAGAAAGACCTGGCCATCTGCTTCCATAAAGATTACAGCCAAGAAAACTCCATGGGTTCTGCATTCTAGAGAAGTGAGTAGCGTCTGGCGTCTTAAAAGCTTGTGAGCAGCCAACTAAGATACAACTTATTGGTCTCTACTCATCAGGAGCAAAAGAGAAAGAAGGAAACCAAAGTCTCAGAGAAGAAACTAGTCTACAGGCCTAATAGCCTACACGAGCCACATCTACCGTGAGACCAGAAGAACTAGATGGTGCCCAGCTACCACTACCGACCGTTCTGATCAGGGCCACAATACATGGACCATGATAGAATGGGAGAAAAATGTGGAACAGAACTCAAATTCTTAAAATGTCCAGACTTACTGGACCAGTTGAAACTAGAAGACTCCCTGAGACTATTGCCCTGAGATATTCTTGGAACTTTGAACTGAAACTATCCCCTGAGGTCACCTTTTAGCCAGACTGGCACACAAAATAAAGGATATTACTTGTGAGTACGGTGCTCCATTAAAAAACCATTGATATGAGACCAAAAGGTCAACAATTACTCTAAAGAAAAAATGAGAGGATAAGGGGGCAGGGAAACTAGAGCACTAGAAACAGAACAACCCGAATGGAATTAAAGAGAATGCTGACTCGTTGTGAAAAATGTAACTAATGTCACTGAACAACTTGTGTAGAAATTATGAAATAGAAACCTAATTTGCTGCGTAAACTTTCACCGAAAACACAATAAAATAGTTTAAAAAATAAACAAAAAAACCCGTAGGGCAGTTCTACTCTGTCATATGGAGTCAGAATTGGAATAGACTTGACGACATCCAACAACAATCTTCACAGAAGCAGATCACCAGGCCTTTCTTCCACAGCGTCACTGGGATGGTTCAAATCATAACCTTCAGATTAGTAGTTGAGTGCAAAGAAGGTGTGAGTGAAGGTCCTGATCACACCTATACCTCCTTAGCCCCACCCCCAAATTCCTTAGCTCTGCCCCACACCTTCTGAGCTCCACCCCCTCAGACCTTATTAGCCTGTCCACGGTGGGGGGTTCCCAACCCAGGGACAGTCAGCCAGCAGGCTCCGTTTCATGTCCCAGCTCTGCCACTTAACTTGCCATTATCTGCGTCAACAGATAGCGGTGCAGACTCTTGTTCTAACAAAGTCAGTATTGTATGGAGTCCTGAGCAGTCTTTATTTAAATATTCCCAATCAACAAGCCAAGCATGAGTGACACCAAAATTCTCTAGAAAGAAGTCTCATTTAGTGTCCCCCGTGTCCTCAAATAAGTGACAGCCCCTCTGTGCCTCAGTTTCCTCGTGTCTAGAATATGGATAGAATATAGTTCCCCCTCACAGGGCTGTCCTGAGGATTAAATGAGACAGTGTGTGCAAAGGACTAAGGGTGGCACCAGGGCTACCTCCATTCCAGCCCACCTTCTGCCCCCTCCCCTCTCCCTGCCTTGCTGGAGCTCCCAGGCTGTGCCTGCAAACCAGGCCTTGCCTTGCAACAGTCCGGAGCATTTCCTCTGTAGCTTCCCTCTAATTGGACATTAATTAGCCATTCGTTAATGGATCCGTAAAATAATTTATTTTCGGATGCGTCCAGCCTGTGGTCGGATAATAGCCCCGTGCTCATTAACGGAGCAGCCTCATTATGGACGATCGTCATTACCTGCCTTTTTCCAGGGTCGCAGCTGCCCCAGGCAGCCCAGCAGGCGCGACAGTGGCGGGGGGGCCGGCTCCAGGCCTGCAGACCCCCCACCCTGGAGGGCCAGGCAGCCATCTCGTCCCTAACTGGGTTGGCCTCCCGCCCCTTCTCTTCTGGCTTGGCCAGTCTGGCCTCTCACCCGATCCTTCCTGCTGCCAGCTGCACTCAGAGCGCTTAGGGCAGAGCACGTAGGACAGAGCAACAAGCCCGCCAGGCCACTCAGGGGCCAGCCCCATGCTCAGCCTTGCGGCGCACTCTGGGCTGTCCGGCCAGGCTTCCAGGCCTGCCACTGTCCCAGCCACCTGCCCAGGCTCCCGGCTGAGCAGGCTTTGCGTCCACTGCCACCCCCTCGTTCCTGGCAGCAACGGCATCGTCGTAAATAAGTGACAGCTCCCAGCTGTTGGGAGTTATGGGCTCCCGGAGAGTGGCAGCTGCTTCCTGTCCCCCTGTAATCACCCGGCTTCGACCGAACGTTTGCAACACATAAAAATCATCGCATATAATTTGGTTTTTGCATAATTGGGTTGGGTTGCGATTTCAGAGCAATTATGACCTTGGTGGTGGTGGTGTCAGCCGCAGAGCAGCTTCAAGGACCCTTTCTGGGCCAGGCCAGGCTCTGTGTGGCCTCTGCAGTGGCTTTAGTCACCCCAGCTGCTGGGCAGCTTGCAGGCCGGGCCCGAGGCTGATGCCTCCCTCAGCCCCAGTTTCTCCTTTTGTTACATGAGTAGGAGATGATGTCTATGTCAGCCTCCCCACGCGGAAGCTTAGGCCCCTCCTCCAGCTCCCAGCTGCCCACCTCAGGCTGGCAGGGGGAGGCAGCAGTGTGAGGGGGTAAGAGCCTGGGCTCCAAACCCAGCAGACTGTCTGGAAACCTGCCTGCTGCCTTCAGCCTCCAACCCAGGGCTGGAGGAAGCCCCAGCCCACACTGACTACACCCTGCATACAGCGGGAGGCTCATTTCAGTCCCTTCCTCACCTCTGCCCAGGCTGCTGTCTTTCAGGAAGGCCACACCTGCAGGACTCTTCTCTCCCAAGGGAGCGTCCCCTCCCTGCCACTCTGAGGGAGTCCAGAGTGTCACCCAGCTCAAGGACCCTCAGTGTCCACTGTGCTCCATTCCACAGCTCAGACTGAAGGGAGCAGGGCCTCAGCCACACAACCTGGGTTCATGGACACGCAGTGGGCGCCACACCAGACCCCCACCTCCACCCCAGGGGTCCTGCAAGGACAAAGGCATTTCCTTCCCTAAAGTCTGGCAGCAGGAGAGACACTCATTGCGGAGGGGTGCGTGGGTAAGCCGTGGCAAGCTCAGCGCTAATGCCACCTGACATTTGCACAGCTTATCGGAGTTTACGAAGTGCTTTTGCTGTCGATTCTCAGATCCTCAGAGCTACCCTGTGTGGTGTGCGGAGTTGTCCTGCCACCCTGACCCAGGGTGGGGGCAGGCAGCTCTCCTCCACCTCCTATGTGGCTCCGTCTCCATAAGGCCCCAGGGATGGGGTTCTCTGAAAGGGTCCCCAGAGAAGTTGGGGGGCCCCACAAGAAGCCATACTCCCTTGGACAGAAAGCAGGTGCCCCCGGGAGTGTGGGGCACAGGGGAAATAAGGCACAGACCCTGGTTTAGGTGAAAAAGCCTGACTGCCCCACAGTCTACGTGGATTGCTTGGAAGCCGACATGTGAATAATGGCAGGGGCAGGGTGACAGTGGGACTCTTGCTCTGAGAGGGGTGCAGAAGGAGGCAGGGGCCCCTGCCGACACTTGGCACAGGGCCTGGCCTACATTCCCTGTTACCCCAAGGAAGAACATGCTGTTATATCAGGGTCTGGGGGTGGGGGTGGAGAAACAAACCACAGGACATGGTGTGGGGCAGTCACTCCCCCCGACTGCCCACCTCGGAAGGTAGGCTGGTGGGGTTGAGCCCCAGGGAAGCTGCTCTGCATCCTCAATCCTGTCCAGATGCCAGGGGACCCGTGCCAGAGAAGCTGCCCTCAAAGAAACCCTTAACCCCTCCCACTAGGCGGTGGGTAGGGTCTCAACTGAGCCTGCTTCTCTGTCCTGGAAAAAAACCAAACCAGCTGCCATCCAGCCGACTCCGATTCACCGCATTCACCGCGACCCCAATTCATGGCAACCCCATGTGTGTCAAGAGTAGAACTGTGCTCCATGGGGTTTTGAATGGCTGATTGTTCAGAAGCAGATCACCAAGCCTTCCAAGGCACCTTGAACCTCCAACCTTTTGGTTAACAGCTGAGCTCGTTAACCATTTGCACCACCCAGGGACCCCTCCGCCCTGGAAGCTGGTCCCATCTCCAAGGCTCTTTACCAGGTGTCCCAGCCAACCCTGGCACTCCCAGCCCCAGTCAGTGGGTGACCCAGCCCCGGATCGCTGCCCTGCCGGGGGTTTTTCTTCCCAGGGAGGCTGGCACTGCGTCACTGGGCTCCTCCTGCACCCCCTCTGTGCAGGCCCGTGGGAGCCCCGACCCGCTGATTGCCTGATTAATGCACTAACAATGTGGCAGGTGTCTGCTGTGCATTTTAAGATTGCAAATTAGCAGGGATCCAAGTCTCCACGGTGGAGCCTCACACCCCCTCCCGCCAGCCTTCTCAGCCCCTTCCTGGGTGGGGGTGGGGGCCGATCTGCATGCCAGACTGAAGAAAAGAAGGCTGGGCCTCCCCCTAAGCCTTCCTGGGGTTCTCCTTCTTCTCGGGGCATGCACACTGACGACTCGGCTACTCCCAAACCTCCTGCCCTCCCACACGTCTGAGCGTACCTGCATCTCTGCAGCCTCAGTTACTCCTTCCTCCATTCAGCACCTGCGCCTGAGTCCTGGGTATCCGAGGTGCCAGACATGAGCCAGGAGGAGCCCTCACTGTTCACCAGCAGACAGGGGAATCTTACACCACCAGGCAGTCAGGCCAGAGGCTGGGGCCCAGAGTAGGTGCCAGGGTGGGGGGTGGGGCTCAGGGGAGGCCCTGCCTTGCCGGCTCTGCTCCATGCTGCCTCCTCCATGAATCCCTCTGCTCGCCTGCCGGGATTGCTCTGCCTCCCCCCATCAGCTGTATGATGAGGGCGGTTCCTCACCTCTTGGGAGTATTTCATCTGTGAAGTGGGATAAGAAGGGCCCCTGCCTCCTGGGGTTGCCTTAAGGGCTCAGTGGGATGCCGTGAGCTCAGCGCTCAGTGCTCAGCACAGTGGGCGGTACAGACGATGCTCAGGAAAGGAGAGCTGGTGTTGCTTTCAGGCCTCCTTCCTGCAAACCCCAAAACTCCCGCCTGCTGGGCAGGGGCCTGTGGGCCCCACCCCCTGGGGAGCAAGTGGCCTGAGCATGGACAAGCACCTCACCCAATCCACCCAGCACCGCCCCCCTGCCAAAAGAAACCAAACTCGTTGCTATTGAGTCAATTCCAACTCATAATGACTCTATAGGACAGAGTAGAACTGCCCTATAGGGTTTCCAAGGCTGTAATCTTTACAGAAGCAGACTACCACATCTTTCTCCCATGGAGCAGCTGGTGAGTTCAAACCGCTGACCTTTCAGTTAGGAGGCAGGGGCCCCTGCTGACACTTGGCACAGGGCCTGGCCGGCATTCCCTGTTACCCCAAGGAAGAACATGCTGTTATATCAGGGTCTGGGGGTGGGGGTGGAGCAACAAACCACAGGACATGGTGTGGGGCAGTCACTCCTCCGGAATGCCCACCTCGGAAGGTAGGCTGGTGGGGTTGAGCCCCAGGGAAGTCTCTCTGCATCCTCAGTCCTGCCCAGATGCCAGGGGACCCGTGCCAGAGAAGCTGCCCTTGAAGATACCCCTAACCCCTCCCACTGGGCGGTGGGTAAGGTCTCAACTGAGTCTGCTTCTCTGTCCCGGAAAAAAACCAAGAGTACTTAACCACTGCACCACCAGGGCTCCTCAGCAGCCCCCAGATGTGCTTATTGATGGTCCCATGGGGGCCAGGCCTGGTGGGGGGAGCGGGAATGTGTGCAAAGGCACTGTGGTGGGAAAGCAGGTGGTGGCCCCCATCTTATCCTGGCCCCTCTCGCTCCGGCTCTAAGTGACCAAAGCTTCCAAGGAGACTGTACCTTTAGCTCAGCAGGCAGGGCCCCTGCGCCGGACCTAGGCCAGAAGGCCAGTGTGGCGGGGGCCTTGCAACTTCCCCACCCTGGGAGGGAAGGGAACTAACCAAGGGGGACCCGGCACTATCTGTGCACCAAGTTCTTTATAGAGAACCTTCACAACAACCCTGCGTGAGCGGCACAATTTCACAGAAGCGGAAACTGAGGCACACCGAGGTGAAGCAGCTCATGGCGGTCACACAGCTGTGAGGAGGGCAGTGGAAGCAGGCCTTGCTCAGCTGACTCTGAACCCAGGACTCTGCCCCCAGCTCCACACTGCCTGGGGCCAGCAGGACAGGCTCAGCCAGGCCCCGAGGTCTCAGGCCACCTTGTCCAACCTGAGTCTGGCACTGCCAACATGGAAGATACTGCCTCTCCCTGCCCTGGCCCAGGGATGCCCGATGGGCTGGCATCCCCATGGCCTACTGGGCAGGTGTGTGTGGCTCTCTGAGGCTGAATGACAGATCAGCCATGTGGTCAATCTGTCGCCCGCAGCCCACCCTCCCCCACAAGGCTGAGCTCCCCCTGCCCCCTAGGCTTGCCAGATGCTTCTCTCTAAGCCAATTGATGCTAACTGAATGGCTCTGTTGGGGAAGTGCTCTCTTGCAGAGAGAGATCGGATAACGGCCTCAGGCCAGGCCAGCTACAGCTGCTGGTGCCTCAGGCCACTTGGCACTGACCCTCAGTGCTGCACCCAAGCACTGGCCACTTCCTGGTAAGTACCTCCCAACCCCCACCCCCCCAAGCCTGGCCCAGCCCTGGAGACAAGGAAGCCAGCCAGGACTTCCCTCCTCTGCTGACACTTCAGGTAGCAGGCAGGGTGGCCAGCAGGCTTTCTGTCCATGGCATAGCCCAGAGCAGTGGGAACAGCACGGGCTTTGAAACTAAAGATGTGGATGCAAATCCTGGCCCCCCGACTTAGCGAGCGTGTCACCTTGCTTATGTGAGCCTCATTTTTTTTCCTCACCTGTAAAATGGGGACAATATGTAATGTGCCAGCCTGGCCCTTTCCATCAGCAGATGCCGGAATCCCCCTGTCTCCGCCACATCCTCATCTGTCTGCCAAGCGCAGTGTGTCCAAAACTGAGCTTCTCTTCTCTCCACACAAGCCTCCCCCACTCACAGCTTGTTCGTCTCAGGTGAAGGCGGCTCCTTCACGTCAGCTGCTCAGACCAAGAAGTTTTAGAGTCAGACTCCTCTCTCACACCCCACACCCAATCCATCAGAAATCCCATCAGCTCAGCCGTCAGAACTTATTCAG